TCCTTGCTTTGGGAATGGCAGTTCCCAAAGCAAGCTGCAATGTCTGCCTCAGCAAAGCTAATCCGACCCCACTCTGCAGCTAACATTGCCAGCCTAAACAAACCGTTAAGGAACCTGCATTAACACCAAAAAGCTGGTTTCATACAGAAATGACCTTTACAGGAAATTCCTCTGTGTGCATGCCTGTGTGTGTTTGGAATAATTTCTGTAAAAGCTTATCCGAAAAATTCCACTAGCAAAAGATGCTCCATGCTTTCCTTCCAGAAAGTGTAAGTGGTTTTACTCACATTGTCTGGAAGAGATCAGAGCAACCATCTGCTTTGTCCCCTGCCCCTTCCTCACATCCCAACAGTTTTTAGACCATCTTCAGCTTTAGGAGGTGTTCCTCCATGGGAGTTGAGGGTAGCATGGATATTTCCACAGCATCACAGGGATGCCAAGAAACCCTACCCACTCTGGCTGGAGTGGGAGCATTCAAGGCTGCCGGGGGAGCTAGGAGCTGAATCCCCGCAATGAGCATCTTTGACTCTGCAGCAAGAAGCTTCACGCTGTGGGTCCTGAACAAATCTTCACAAGAGCTGCAAACCATTGTAATTCTGGTTCTGAAGCAGCTGCCTGGTCATCTGGCAGGAAACAAGGCCAAAAATATCCTCTGCTTGTGGTACATCCAAAGTTTACTTACTCTGATATACTTTGGTGGATCATTTTGGCTTCAAAGGACAGCCTTGTTAGTTGGAAACTTCCTGACAAGCTGTGGTTTGATATTCAGCAGGTCTGATAACAAAACTGAGGAGAGAGAGTCAGCAGCAAGGGGATTTTTTTCTGAACACGAATAGGCAAATGAACCAGGAAACCCTTTTTCTCTTTATCCTGCTCCCTCAGAGGAAGGACAAGAAGAGGACTCAGTATTCTTGAGTAAATGTGGAGGATTCTGTGAATATAAGTGTAATTTCTGCTCACTATAGTATATCTCTGATCATTAGGCAGTGAGTTTCAATATAATGCAGCCTTTAAAACATGGATATTTGTTCTAAGGCTCATATTGAGTTTCAGTCCTATATTTTATATTTTGACTACTGCATAGTTCAGAAACCCCACACATATCTTGACACCTGGTAAGATAATGTTATGATTAATTATAAATTACCTGTCAGATTCTGATATATAGCAAGGGATGGTAACAGCTAAATGATACTGGTATTTTTCCAGAATGAAAGATTTCTTTCAACATGCCCTGTAGCATATGCTGTAGCTTATCTCTCTTGCTCTAGGTGGAATAACCTCTCTATTGTCCTGCAGCTACAAATAGGCACTTAGGTTTTATTGCTAGCACCTGCTCTGCTCCAGAAAAGGAGGAGGCTTCCCTCCATTCTGATTAGCAACATAGTCTGAAGGTTTATTCAACTTCAGAGATCATTACAACAGGCAATATGGCATCCTACTGAATGCTGTGTCTAAGCATGCAACTAAATTATAATTCTTGAGTGTAATATTCCACACAGTCACTGCAAACAATGTTCAGCTGAATTTTGCAACAGTTAGCCAACTATCTTATCCTCTAAAGTCAGTGGTTTGTGGAAGAATGAATTCCAGGCACTGAAGGCTATATTAGGAAAGCACTTCAGATGCTCGACACTATTCAGGGCAGAAATTAAAGATCACTTACTTAGAATACATAGTAAGACTAAACATGTTCTTTAATGTCAGAGACCCTTAAGACAGAGATGAAATTTACTGTGTGTGGATGTAGTTTGGTAAATACGCTGGCAGTCTGAAACAAGGTATTAACCAGCTCTCAAACAAGTATAATTTTACACTTGGAAGGATAATTTGCTTTTAGAAGAAAACTATTTACAAAGTATTTGAGGCACACTGGCACTAGAAAAACAGTAATACAAAGACATTAAGTAATAATGAGATTAATCACAGCAATTACTAATAAGACAATAAAGTTTTCTTACATAGCTTTTAGATTTCTTATTTCCTCTAGATGAAAAGTGTATTTGCTCTGTAACATTAGTGCGTTTAAGATAGATTTTTGCCTCCAGCACAACTTTCTCCAGCCACAATCAAGAGTCAGTACCACTAGTCCAATACAGTGCCATTAGATTGACCTGGATAAGCAGGGACAGGGTACACTAAAGATTATGTCATTATATGAAGAGTGTGGTAATGATGAAGCTAAATTATTCATTCTGCCACCCAATTATTTCTGGTAGCTCAGGGACTGCTGTACAGAAGCCTTATCTCCTTATTGTATGTGGCCTACATGAGTGGAACAGCTAACATGCATTAGCAGTCGCACTGAAGAATCTTTTTTCAGTCTGCATGTGTCTTTTCATTGCACTTGTAGAGTGCAGAACACAGCTGGACGTATTTGACGTGCATTGAATTATCAGAGCTAAAATCGAGTTCACTAGTTTAAATGACTTAGTTCACTAAGTCCTTGTGGTTTGGTCATACAGATAATACGTATTTTGTCTGCTGCTTTGTTCTTTCAGAGTCATCCATTTATGATATGATAAAATCATTAGTGTTGGTTATGTGTCACCATGTAACGCTTTATTTTGCTACATAGCAGTTACCAGGTGCCTTTTCTTTCAGCTTTGGCATTTAATTGTCAAGATGCATTTTAGTTTCCGAAATTATGTAATCTGATTTAATAAAAACTGCTTACAAAACAAGTAAATACACTGACAGATATAACACTATTTCATTTATGAAATTTGTTACTAAAAACAGGACATTACTTCATTCAGTGTGCTCACTCATTGTTATTGATCAGAGTTTGTTTGAGGTTGCAATTGAACAAAGAACAGTAAATGCAATTTAGTGTAGAAAGGCAAGGTCACATGGCCTGGGTCTTAGTTAATTTATCTTTCATGACAGATTCTATTTTCTGCTACTAGCATTATTATCCAGCAATACACTTCTCCCATGATAGTGCATCTGTGGCTCTTGCACTGCCAAACTTAGTGGTAGCATTTAATTTGTGTGACATTATTCAGTTATCAAGAAAAAGTAGCGCATGCTGAGAAACACAGTGGCTATCTAATGATAGCATAAAAAAATGAGTTCTTGTAAACAACCGCAATGTCTCAAGTACTTTGCTAAAAACACTTTTCTTTCTGAGGCTGCACCATCCTGTTCCTGTTCCTATTCCTGTCCCGAGAACCTGAGCATTCACCAGGCAGGTCTCCAGATGAAGGCTAACAGGTAGGTATGCTGAGACAGTAGACACAGAATGAATTTGACAATTAAATTTCATATCTTTTCCCTTAAGTAGTGGCAGCTGGATCATGGGCAGAGACTGCAGCACTGAGTTATAGGGAAGCCGCACTGAGATTGCTGAAGTCATCTATTCTATTCCCCTTTCTGTGTAAGATCAGCTGTACATATGTAATTTTCAACAGAAACTAATCTAATCCATCCTTGGAGGCCTATAGTGACGGAGAAGCCATGTAACTCTTCATATATTTCCTATCATGTTATACGCACATGGTTTTGTATGGTGTTCTGGTATTCTTACCCACGTTAACTGGAATACAAATATACTCACGACAGAAGTGACCTCTGTGCATTTTACAAAGGTAGCTGTAAAACAGAAATCTTCATGGAAGGTCCTAGCAGGATTCAACAGCAGTCTGTTCTTGACAAAATACTATGTATGACCTTTACTTACAAACTGAAAGACATCATAAGATGATGGTTTGCAGATTTTGGAAGTCAGGGAAGCTGGTGGAGTGGTAAATTAGACAGATGCTGATTGTAGAGAGTAACCTGAATCATTTGGTAGGGTGGGCTGATTTGAATATCCTGTTTTAATACAGACAAATTTGCAATCATACATCTAAGGAACAAAGAGCATAGTTTATACAGACAGGATTGGACAAAGTATTTCAAAATGATGCAACATGAAAAGAAGTCAGGGTCTTGGTAGATAATTAACTGAACATGAGCCTGCAGTAGGATGATGCAATTAGAGAGTGAATGTCAGCCCTGAAGCCTAAGCAGGAAAAATATGAAGTGGGAGTAGGAAGGTGATATTAGTTCTGTTGATGGCAAAAGTGAAATCATCACAGGAATACTGTATGCAATTCTCATACCCACACTTCAGAAAGGACTCTGAAAAATCAAAACGTAGTCCAAAAGTCCTGCAAAAAATGTGTTGAGGTCTGAAAGGCCTAGAAAAAAGCTAAGAATGAGCAAGCTGCTTGTCTTATCAAAAGAACAGCAAGGAAGACTATTACTTAAATGTAAAAGATACTTTTGATCGTGATTGGCTTTTTAGTATAGGAGGAAAGGGCATAAAAAAACATAGTTTGGGGTATTTTTCTCTTGAAAAGAAAGAGATATGTAAGACCTAACCGCAAACAAAGTCCTTAAAAACCCAAACCCACCCAGTGAATAATTAGCCACATTGATAGTGAGGTGCTGGATCTTCTACTCCGTACTGTTATGTCTAAAGGTCTTTCCAGGGATGTGACAATTTCAGGAGAAATTACAGACCTGCTGCTAAGACTCATAGCTGAGGTGCTACAACTTGTAGGATCGTAATGATCTCTTCCAGCCTCGAAGTCTGTGATTAGCTGACTAGTATAATTCTACTTCCTTTATTTGAATTCTATGAAATCATATTGATGTATACCTGCCGAGGAAGCAGCTCTAAGTCCTTCAAGTTTGAAAATAAGGCATAATACTGCACCAGTTTCGTACAGATTTATTACCACTGAAATCAATATACTTGTATTTGAAAATAATCTTGAGAACGGGGAGACTGTAAAGATGTTTCTGAACTGTATAACCTGTTCCCACCATGGAAACAGCCATTCAAAAAACCATACTGAATCATTGTAATGAGAAACAGTACTTAATTTTGTTTCTAAATACAGAAAATCACACCCTTCAGTTTGTCATTTTGTTTATATGTTTTTATATTTGAAATAATATCTAACCGTTAAGTGGTCCTAACTGCAAAAACACCAGACTGTGTTTTCAATAAATAATTCCACTTTAATGGCAAAGTAATAATTTAGACAGATACAGTGCGCACACCTGCAAAAAAATATACGCAAGCTGGTTTACAAGCTAGAGGAACAATAAACCAATAGAAAATACATCATCCAGTTAAGTCCGATGACACCAAATACTTATTATTAGGGCTTTACAAAGACTACAAAACTTTTCAGATGATTTATTTCACTGTTTCTGTCTATTTACATGATATGTTACATCAAAAATGTACAAAATATAAAATGTGTACAGACAAATGTTTCACAAACAATTTCTGAGTTGTAAACTAGGTGGACTCACTGAGATGTATTGCAGGAAGTTTTGTATATGTAATATTGTGTGTTTGCGTGTTAAATATGGCAGGAAAAGAGTTGCAGGTTTGCTCAGAGCACAGGTACAGGAAAGAGCAGCTTTCCTTTAGTTCTTTGAGTCAGTCAAGGTGTATGCGCTGACATTTTGCATCAGAAATGGATCCAGATTTGGGGGGCATGATGTTGGTCTGACTGAATCCTACATGCATAAAATCAGTTGGAGTTTTATTAGGGCAATAGCACCGTGTAGGAACCTCTAGATTCAGTGATGCAGCTCAGTGCCATTTGGAAACTGCATTGATTTATCTTTGTTTTACAGCGAGCGACCACAGGGTGGCCACAAAGAGTTAATAGCACCAAATACACATCCTGAAGGTAACATCCGTGGAGGTGTACAGTACATGTCTACACAATGCCAAAGCCCTTAGATACCTTCTTGTTTATATGCACCTATTTTAACCGGATGCCTCTTGTGGCAAAAGAGCCTTTCCGATTATTCTGAGCAGTTTGAATGCAATCTGGTTGTAGCCTGCCGTGACATATGCACTTAAAACATTTTCAGTTTTTTCCCCCCCAAAAGATATTGGCTTCGTATAGATATTGAAACATGCTGACTGTAGCATTGATAGCTCCTGCATAGTCATAACAACTGTAAGTACAGGACAAACACACCAGGTAATAACAGCTTTTAAGGTTTGCATTCTGTATTTGTTTGCAACATACAGGAAATCTCAGCAAGTGAAACATCTCTTAACACCAACAGAATAAAATACAATTTTTTTGTTTGTTTGTTTTTGATTTGATTTGTGCAAGGCTTTTTTTTTTCTTTTTTTCTTTTTTTTTTTTTTTTTCAATATTTACAATACCCACCCAGTAGACTGTGCAAAACCAACCCACTTTTACAGTATAAACTCTTCCTCTTCCACAGTGGACATCACTGCTTCAGTGTTCTTTTATGCTGAATTCTTCATGTACAACAATAGCAATCAAAACAACATGCTAAAACTAGAAAAAGGAAAAAAACAAAACCATATATTTGTGCTCATGCTGCATCAAGTGCATCCAGCTCTGCTGGATAAGAATTCAAAACATCTATCCTCCAAAAACTCCATTCCATGGGACCAAATGGATTTGAGCCGATTTTCTCAGCATTTAGTTGGCAGTGGAAGTGGGTTTGGGTTCCTTGTGTATTTCTGAGGGTAGGCAGAGCAATCTATTCACAAGATAAAAATATTATATAGCAACTGTTCTTTCTCCTATCCATTACTTTAAAAAATCATGATATACAGATATGAGGCTACTGTGTTAACTGACGTTTTCTCGTTAGTAAATGAAGAAAAAAACAGTGTAAATTACCAATGGTTTAGGAATTAAACCAACTGTAAAACTGTTCTAGAAATCTGTTTTAAGGCAGTGAGACAGCACCATAAGAAATGTTCCTTCTTTCACTGAAAAGGCTCAAACAAATGAAGCCCTAAAAAGCCTTTAGTCAGTGTTGGTTAATAATTGGTATAAAACTGTTGTTAAGGAGTGGGCAGGTGGTTAAAAAAGATCTTTGTGGTAAAAACAACTTTATAAAATCTGTGACTTGTGTACTAAAAACTTGATGGAGCGCATCACCGTGACCATGGCAGTTAGAATTAAATTGGCACTTATCCAGCATATCACAGTCATGTTTTCTGGTGATTGCACAATACTGTTTGTGCTTTCTGAGTTACTTTCATCATCTTTGACTCATTTTGGAATGGGCAGTAGTGTACAACACAAACACCACTGCAGTCCTGTGACCAGCACCATGTGGCACAACAGAGGTTAGAAGAGAATTAGAAGACCGCATTGTTCATGCAGCACCTCAGGGTAAAGTAAAGGGAAAAAAAAAAAAACAGAAGAAGTTGCACTGTAAACTTGTACAGAGAAACAGAGAGAGAGCAAGAGAGAGACAGAAAGAGAAAAAAGAAAAGGGGAAAAAAAATATATTCCAGTTTGGCTAACACGTGTGCAATCTGCTTAGATGCCCTTGGTCTAGGGCCCTTTCCAGTCGACAAATGGAGTCTCACTTGGCTCCATAGGTATTGAAATGCCTTGAAATTAAACTAATTCAAGCTTTCCACCTCAATTTTTCTTCCTGACTTTGCAGAGTTGGGTCTCCTGCCTACCTACAACACACCATTCTCACTCAGGGACCTCGGCGTGCTGCTTTAATACTGGCAGTGGTCTAGTGGAAACAGATTTTACCATAATCCTCCACCAATGTTTGTCCCTTTCAGAGAGTTGATTCAAGGGATGAATCCAAAATGTCGTCATGGTGGCTGGTGCTATCACTGTCACAGCTTTGTGCGCTCGAATAGTTGGCTGCCTCTTGAAGCCTCATTAGCATATTCATCTGAAAGAAGAAAGCAATCTTTACATAATCTCATCTCATTTAATGCTGCAGTGACCATGTTAAAATTTAATTAAGCTCCCCTGCTGTACGAGGTGTGGTGACATCTAGCTGAGGGAACCATACAAAAAAATTTCAGAAAGGGCACGATGTCAGCAGCTCCTCCTGGCATCCTTTTCATTGCCTTCTGGTCTTTAAATAGAAATTTAAAGGTCCAAAGAGCCAGAGGGATACAATGGAGCTGCCTGATAACTCCCTTTAATTCAGGGTTGAGGCTGGCTGCAGCTGCCAAGAAAGCCATACCACAGCTGGACATCTGGGCCCATATTTGGAGACATTCAAGCTTCCAGATAATTATTGGATGGTGTAGACACACTACATTGGAAAAGCAACTGAAAACATAATCACACTAACGTACTCCCTCTGCAAGAGAGAGACAGGGAGGGAGTGAGAGAGGGGTGGACCAGGGCCAGCTGCTTCATATAAGAGTCCCATCTGCTGTCGAGGGCCTGACCTCAGCAGGGAAGCAGCAACAGACCCTCCTACCCAGGAGAGGAGAGCCCACACATAATTTGGGGATTATTAGAACCTGAAACCCATCTGAAAAATCATCAAAAAGCAGCATTAAGCTCCAGAAAATGACTTGGAACCTTGATGCCTAACTCTGTGTAATGATCAGGATTTTATTTATAAAACATCCACTTCTGCCAGCACGCTCAGGGCTGCAAGCAATGTTGACATTGCTTTAGCGTTTTCAAGGAACAAATACTCTGTCATTACAATAAAGCAGGCAATGAAAAACCAAAGAGAAAGAGGTATTCTTGTGTGTTTATGTGTTAAGCCCCTTTTTTCAGTTTGCTCAGGAGTCTTTACATCTCTATGGTTTCAACCTGCACAGTTTGCAAAGTTTTCTCTAGGCATTGAACATCGTTTAATACTCTTTAATGCTATCAGGCAGTTTTGCTGAAGGTTTAATAGGTATCCGTGTTTGAGAATACAGGATACATGTGGTGGGTGTGGAATACAGCCTGCACATGACATGTCCTGTTTCCACAAGCACAGTGTCTGTCTCCCTGTGAGCTCCACCGGAGGCAAGGGCAAGCCTTCCATTCACAAGTTTCAAACTTGTCATATTAAGTCAGATATAAATACTGATCACAGTGTGCAGGGAGCAAGGGTGACGGGACACTGAATTCGAGCTGCCCAAGTATTTTCACCTTAGTGTGATGATGCATATATGCTGGAAGCCTGGCCAATATGCTCACTGGCAGCCCAAATTGCAGGGTCAAACAATCACCTCGAAGCTTATGGACTGGGAGACACGGGATCAAACGAGCCAGTTTTCTACACTTCTTCAGGATGCAAGGTCTGGTTTTGAATATCAAACACTTCAGTGAGGCTGAGGAGTCATTTTCTTAGTACTGATAAGCGTTAAATGCATTTTCCTCTGAGACATTCCCTTCTGCAAGGGCTGCCTGTATTCCAGAAGTAAGGTTCTCTAAAATGGTATTTTGAATTGCGATAAAGACAGTCTATAGAGAAAGCAGTATACAAGAATAGCAGTTCAATATATGCAGTTTAATAGTTCATTATCAGAGGAGGCAATGGTAAACCCAAATGTCTGGGATCATATTTAAATAAAACAATACATGGCATTGAGGGAAATCAACCTCTTATCTTTTAATGCCACCACACTTGCATTCCTTTTACATTAAGACTGTTATACAGTCATCAGTTATCTTGAAATGTTCTGAGGAATGGGAGGATAGCTGTCTAATTTGCATTTCCACTGAATTCTCTATGATAGACAAGTTAGATAACGTGAGTTTCTCAGTCCTTCATTTGTAGAAAGTAGATGAAGAACTGCCCAACCTGGAAGGTGTTTTTAGAATAAACTGATTAATAAGTTGCTGAAAAGTGGTACCCAAACATTACAATGGCGAAGACCAGACATATTTCTGGGCAGACATAAACCACAAACAATTTAGGGATGTATTTACATGATGGTGATACCTGCCCTCCTGCTAGATTTTCCTTTTATTTCCAACCTTTCTATTAAATTCTAGTAGGATTCATTTCAAAAGCCCATTTTGGAACAGGTACACAGCAGGTTTTTTACTGTACAATGTACAATTTAACATGTGACAGTAAAGTACATACTGAAAAGCCTTTTCCCCAAAGTTTAAATCTTACCAAGGGATCCCCCTCTGTATCAGTCTGTGGAACGTGCTTTGAAGTTGTTCCTTCCTTCGCTGATGCATGACCTTCATAGCCAACATCTTCTGGTCTTAACTGAAGAAGTGATGGCCACTCGTGCTGTAGAGATGCAGAGCTCCACGGATAGGTATCAGCTACCCACTTGGAGGGATCCTCCCAGGGTGCTCTCTTACCATACATCTATATTATGGATATAACACAGGTAAGTATTCTACAGAGTTTTCAGTACCAGTTGTAACAGCAGACAAAAGTAATCAAAAACATCTAAACCATTTTAGTAAGTGTTTTGTTTTCAGCTGTGCGCAGCACTTGGATATGGTAAGACATTCATAAGACATCATCTCCACTAATGCCCCTTCAATATGACAAGTGGCTGCAAGTTGAAAAGCACTCTGTATCTTGTAGGCAACAGTGGGAGCCACAAGCTTTTGATGCAATGTGAAATGAGACCCTTAGGTAATTTGCTTAAAGCATATCCATGAAATTAACTCAGACCTATCTAAAACACTGAAGTTAAGTGGATTTTGTTTGAAGTGAATTAAGAAGTGCCAGTACAGATTGTTCTCTTCTACTAGCAAAATGGGATGCAGAAGCAGACATATGTCCACACCTTAAGGCTGAGATCTTTCACTAGGTTAAGAGAAGAAATTCACACAGAATAGGTTTTCCCTACTATGAAGCATAAAAATCCTTATGAATCTGAATGGAGGACAGATGAAGGAAGAATGAATATTCTAAGTTTAGGAGGTCTGGTAGTTTCCTTCTAAAAATAATGGACCCTTCTCCACACTGCTGTTCACAAGCAACATATTAACTGAGAGGCCCTTGGTTGCTGTTTTACAGATTTCCTTTAGCTGTGACAATGACATATTGGGATGGGGAGCCATTGACCAGGGCTTTCTGTGATTTCTCCCAGCTCAAACAGCCTCATGCAATCCAAGGAGCAGCATAATACTGGCAGAGCATACACTTACGGAGCATTTAGATGGGCTCCACTCCTAAAGGGAGTAAAACAGTGAAGAATTTTAGCGCTAAAGCCAGAGATGAGTTGTGCTTATCACTGCAACACCTGCTCCCAGGCATCAGAGTTCCAGGTTAGGCAGCCAAGTTCCCTATTTTATGCACAGAGATATGCAGACTCCTTCTGTACTACACTGAAGGCCAGGATGCTATAACAGGGATCTGGCTAAATAAGCCAAGAGGAAGTGTTTCTCAGGGAGGCAGCAGGCTAACTCCAGGCTGTAGGCAGCACTTCCCCTCATCTAAAAGTGATTAAATCTTTTCTGGAATCTGGAGCAAGGCTTGTAAATTCTGTGTCTGACAAGTGGGTTTGCAAAGTACCAGGCTAGAAAGGCATTTTCTACTTGTCCTTGGTTCCAGGAACATCTAATTATACAATATAAAAGATTTCTGTTTATTATTAATAATGTTGTTCTATGGAAGCCATCCAAACCAGATAAAAATTGGAACGGTTGAAGAAAAATCATATTTTCTTCTGTATGCTGCCATCTTCTGCTCCAGAATTGAAGTTTTCATCTAAGTAAGTACACTGTATACTTGGGAAAATATAAGCATGAAGAATAACCCTGCATTTTTATAGCTGGTCTAAACAAGCTCTGTTAATCTCACTGTGGCTGTTCTATCAGATGTTTGGCAGGTTTTTGCACAAGGCATAAACACTCTGTAATTCCCAGAGAGATAAGCAGTTTTAGGAAAGTGTGAGATATTCAACAGGCAAGATTCTAAACTTCCATCACATCACTATGTCACTATGTCAACACAAGGTGATAAAGAAACAGCAGATTTTTACACAGTTCTTTGACTAGTCCATAACAATCCCCTCTGCACTGCGCAGTAATTTCCTTCAGTGTCATGTGTGGCAAAAAAATGCCTTTCCACAAAGCACCTTTTCAGAGGACAGAGAATTGCAGTGAATTAAAAAAAAAAAAAAAAAAAAAAGGAAGCAAGCCAAATAAAGATTGAAAAAAAAATGATTAATTTCAAGATTTAGGTTTGCTTCGAAGATGTGAAACGGTCTGAAATCTTAACCTGTATGGGACAGCTTACAGTGCTATCTACAGCAAATCTATTTGTAACCCTCTTTCTATTAAAGTAGAAGAAATTTTAATAGTTCATTAACAATCAATGGAACTGCTGCTAACACCTAGCTTTGGAGAGGATAGGATAAAGGGAACCTTGAAGCACTCTCATCTGATGGCACTATGACTCAAGATGAGAATTACAGTCAGGAGAACTTAGCCCATATAAAGAAAGAAAAATGGAGAAAGAAAACTATGGGAAATACAAGCAGGGCTGCAAGATATAAGGGCAAAAAGGGACAGACCTTCATGT